CCCACCCATTAGATGCTAGCAGTCGACCGCCACCGCTGGACGGTAGTCAGAAGTCACCGGAATGGTGCACGACTGACTAGATCTGACCGGTAGTGTGTTGATCTGGTCTTTTTCGGCCAGATCCACCATGGATCGGACTGAAAAATGCCAGATCTACGGCCAAAGACTTGGCCGTCAGTCGTCATTCTAACTAAAAAATGCTAGATCGATGCACGATCGGTCACATCCAGCCGGTCGTGCTCCATTTTGATAGATTTTTGTCACCTTTCGGTAGTGGTGGCTAGTTGTCGGGAATATGTGAGTGGGTGGAGGTATTTTTGTCAATTTATAAACTTTTATTATTAGGGTGTTTAGTTAAATTAATAAACCTAAAAGGTTAAAAAAATCTAAATATTTTGAGTTGAATAGAATATAATTGAATTTTAAGAATATTTAAATAAATATATATTTTGAATAGGATTTGATATGGTAGGATTTTGAATAAGAAAACAAACACAGCCAATTTCAATTTTTTATCACTTATCATTACTATTTTATGGGGAATTTCGTGATACCCAAGGTTTTTGCTCTGAAAAGTCATCACCATCAGTCATCAGATACTGGAAACTAGTAAGTAATAACAACACCCGGTCACTGGTCTGTGCTGATAAATATTTACATTACTGCTTGATCGCTTTGACCATGAAAATGTAGTTCATTTTTATATATTATAATCAATTTAAAACTATTGATAAACCAATAAATATTATGAAAAGATAACAATCAATCTAAAACTTTCCTAATATAGTACATAAGTTTCAAATAGGTCAAAAATGGACTTTTGATAATTAAAAATTAATTATGCATGAGACATTTAAGTAACTTTACAAATAAAAAAAAATTGAAAATCAAATCAAATAAAAGAAAACAACCACAAAAATTTAACAAGTGACAGTTAAAAATTGGTCTATTATCAGCTTCCTCTCCGAGGTTTACAACATTTATAACTTAATCTCACAAACTCTCTTTCACAACCTTTAGGTGACAATCTCCAAATTTTTGCTGATGATTTTTCCAAAATTCAAAATTCATAAACAAAAACCTGGGAATTGCCACTTATGGATTGTGAGAGAGAGTTTGTGAGATTAGATTGTGAGTCAACTTTTATTATTAATAAAAATCCAATTTCTCACCAATTGTTATAGAAATCCTCAACCACTTCCCTAGGTTTCTCAATTGATCAACAACCTCCCTTACACACCGTTTTCTAATGCCAAGACTTTAAATTAAATGAGCAAATTGGTCTTTCAACAGTTAAAAGAATTTAAAAGTAAAAATTGAATATAATAAATTAATTAAAGCATTTGTAATAAGATATAAAATTACAACGAAACAAATTACAGTTTTAATTTAAACCTTTTCCAGAATTTGTTTTGACTTTTTTTTTTTTTGGCTTAGATTATGAAATAATCAAAAAGTACCTGACTAGATCCAACCAGTCGTGCGCCATTACGGTGACTGGAGCTGGCGGCCGATGGCCAATAGTGGCTTGGGGTGGGGGGTGATTTTGTTACAAGTTAAACTTTTATATGGCTAGAGTATTTTAACAAAATCTCAAATGTAGAGAGTTAAAATAAGTAATTGAAAAAATAATAATAAAAATAATATTATATTAATATTTAAAAAGGAGGGCAATTCAGTAATCTATATAACATATCCATCAATTTATTCCTCCAAACCAAACATATCAATATAATATAAACATACCCATCAATTTATTCCAACCAACCAAACACATTTGTCTAAAAATTCACAATAATCTTCAAGGTAATCAATCTTTTGATTAATATAACTTTTCCAATAATACAACATTCCTTGAACTGCACCTAGATAAGTTGCTTGAATTTCTATGAAGATTAGATATGATTTACAGAAATAAAGTTGGCTTGAATTTTGGAAGAGATGACAATATTGACAATTGTAAATTTTGAGGACATATTTGCTAGTTTTTTAAGAAAGGGTCCTAACGTTTAATTAATACAAACCATAACGAACAAATAGTTTTGTCGGTTTGGTTATTTTTGAATGTTTACATTTTTTAGTTAGAATATATAGTGAGAAAATAGTATCCAGGGGAAGTTGTTGATCAATTGAGAAACTTGAGGAGAGGTGGCTTAGGGTTTCTTTAACAGTTAGGGGGAAAATGGATATTTGTTAAACATTAAGGGTAAGTTGGATAATAAGCCCTAAAATTTTCTACATTACCTGAATTTGTTGCACTCCATCGCGATAACCAGAAAATTTTTGCACTAACTAATAGTTCTCTCTGTTTTCCTACAGCAATCTACCACATGCACCACATTTGCACAATTTTCACATCCAAAACTAAATATATGATATATGAACATCAAATAACAATTATAACATTTAGCCTTACAGATTTTTGACAAAACGGTAGTATCTATCATCACATTCAATAAAAACCACGCCAACTAACTTCTAAAAAAAAAAAAAAATTGTGGGGAACATTAAAAATATATATAAATCAACAATCTTACCCCAATATAGTGTTTACACATTTTCAAATGAGGGATGTTTAAGGAAATTTGAGTAATGTTTATGGATTAACATGCAGAGAAATTTGGGGAAAATGGTGTTAAAATGTTCAAGTAGTCAAAAGTAGGGGGTAAGGGATATTGGCCATTAATTAAATGGTTTGGACACAAAGGTATAGCCTTTCAAAAGTTGGTTATCTTTTATAGCCCCCCTAATTTTTGGTCATTTCTAAGAACCCTATTATTTATCCATTATTTATGGTCAGTATCTTTAAAAGCATTTTTTAATATTTTTACAACCACTAGAAATTAATTTTATATGAATTCATCTTATCTTTGATATTATTTTACAATACAAACTTACTATGTTAATATGTTATTCATCATGTAATAGAAAAAATAATCACTAATTTCTTCAAGCACCTTTAGAAAGAATTAATATTATGTTATAAACTATCACTTAATAAGTTTGAAGAATATAAAAGAAAAATAAAATAGCGTTGGTTTAATTTTTTTTTTTTTGATAACTTAGGTGTCCAGGTTAGTTTGCACGCACCTCAACTAATTACTGGAGCCCATTGAATACCTTACAAGCCCAATATTCCAAGTAAACCATAAATGTGATAGATGACCCCAATTTTAACTAATCACTGAGGCCTATTGAATACCCTACAAACTCAATGTTTCAAGTAAGCCACAAATATGGTAAATGGTCCCAAGGTGGTTTGAACCCAGAAAATTAAAAAAGGTAGCAAACTTTCTTAACTACCAGGCTAACCAGTCGGGGTCATGTTTGTTTAATGTTGATGCAGTAATTTGGTGAAGAATTATAGAGGTTGATTAGCCCCCACATCCACATGTGACAATTAATCAAAAAATAAAGAAAGTCACTATCTCCAGCTAAGTGACATTTTGCTGTCTCATGGTTGGTATTTGATGCTCAAAAATCACAAGTTGAATGAGTGATAGATACAAGGGACCTTTCAATCATACAAAACATAATTGCTCTCTTTGACAATATTAAATATATTCTATAATAAACTCACATTCTTATCTATAATTAATTATGGTCACAAAATGATCTGAAATGGTAATATCTGATAAGATTATAGATAATAAAGCATTAAGGAGTTCATGTGCTGAATGCTAATTAAAGGTGCACCGTTTTCTTTATATGGAGGTGGATGCTTTCGCCTTTAGGCCCAGAAATTTATTAGGCTAGCAAAATACAACCACAATCAAATCTTTTACCTGCTTTTTCACAATTAAAAGGCCAGCCAACCAATATCTCTTCATTTTCCATTCAACTCCCAACTGTTTTACGATCTCTCATTTTTTTTCTCCATAAAATTTAAAGGATTTTCTTCATTTATTTGCTACTTAGATCTTGTTTTACAGTTGCTCCTAAACCACTTACTAGTTTCTTTGAAAATATACTGGAAACTCTAAATAATAAACCATCATTGAGTGGTCTAATGGTAAAAGAGCAAAAGAAAATTCCATGAGCTCTTGAATTCAAGTCTCTCTAAACATTAATTCTAATTGGGGTAACCACTCGGGAGCTTTTACCCGACTGACAATTCTAAGACCTGGGGTATTAGTTAAGGTGCATGCAAGCTGACCCAGAAAAAAAAAAATCTAAATAATAATATAATAACATAAAGAATTAGTTGTTGTAAAACAGTAAAACACACTTAAGAATACAAACAAACAAAAAAGTTATCATATAAATATAATGAAAAATGCCTTTTTTTTATTTTTTATTTTTATAAATCAAATGCATCAAAATAATCAAAATTTTATATTGTTTGTAATTTTAGGGCACACTCTACAAAACTAGAACTATAATATCCTTAAATTATCAAAAAGAAATAATATAGCAATCTATTAACTATTTGAGATGATTATANGGTCTGATGGTAAAAGAGCAAAAGAAGATTCTATAGCCTTTTGAGTTCGAGTTCCTCTAAACACAAATTTGGGTAACCACTCGGGAGCTTTTATCCGACCAATAGTTCTTGGACCTGGGGTATAAAAACAAAAAACAAAATCTAAATAATAATATAATAACATAAAGAATTAGTTGTTGTAAAACAGTAAAACACACTTAAGAATACAAACAAACAAAAAAGTTATCATATAAATATAATGAAAAATATGTTTTTTATTTTTTTTTTATAAATCAAATGCATCAAAATAATCAAAATTTTATATTGTTTGTAATTTTAGGGCACACTCTACAAAACTAGAACTATAATATCCTTAAATTATCAAAAAGAAATAATATAGCAATCTATTAACTATTTGAGATGATTATAAATTTATTATGTATAATATAAAGAATCTATTAACTATTTGAGATGATTATAAATTTATTATGTATAATATAAAGAAAGAAAGCACCACAATAATTGGGTTCATAATGGATAATTATTTCATATTAAATGTAAGACACAATTAGTCTTTAGAGTGGTGAAAAAAAATCAAAGCAACCAACAATGTCAAATGGACCTTCCAAGTGCGTTCCAACCAACTCCATAATCTTATTTTCAACATCACTTTAATGTCTGAAATCCATGGATTTTGTTTGTTTGATTTGATTTGAGTGTGTGATTATAGATTGAAGTCAGAGTCGTCATTGAGATAAAAAGTGAAGTGTAAATCTATGGCATGTGGGTCCATTTTACAGAAGACCCAGATGCCCAAATCACTCTCCATGTGCACAGCCTCATCATCTTTGGCTGGCTTCTTCCTTAGACATTCATTCATCTAATCAAATCAAAACAAAACACAACACCTCGCCTTCTTCACGTTCGATGAACATGCACATTTTCTTTATTTTCTTAATTACTTTCTTTAATCATTTGCCTATGCTTCGAGGAACACCCACTTTCACTTAACGAAGTTCATGCTATCTTTCTGACTTCTCGTTTTTTTTCTCATGGATTCAACAGCTCGCCTTGACTATGCTCTCTTTCAGCTCACTCCAACTCGGACGAGGTACATTGAATTTGATGGTTTTGTTATGTTTTTGTTTTTATGAAAGCTTGAAATGGGCTAATTCTGGTGGTTTTTTTATTTTTTGTTTTCGTGTGTGTGAAGATTTGATCTGGTGTTGTTCTTTAGAGGGAATAGTGAGAAATTAGCTTCTGGGTTGTTTGAACCTTTCATTTCTCATCTTAAAATTGCAAGAGATGAAATTTCAAAAGGGGGATACTCCATTACTCTTCGCCCACCAAATCGTGATGCCTCCTGGTTCACTAAAGCTACATTTGAGAGGTAATTTGGATCTCTTGTTAATTTTATTAGTATTATTATTATTTTTTTTTTTTTTTGTCAAATTGGTGGATTATCCACTAGCCTTGATATAAAATTCTACATAATTTTCAATTTATTCTCGAATGTCATGCAATTAAATGATGTTAATTTATTTCTTGGATGTTAACAAATAAATCTACACTTCAATTTCACTGATTTGGTTAAGTTGAAGGCTTATAAAGACTGAAATTTACTAGCATTGAGATGAAGACATAAGTTTAAATTAGAAACTGGGAAGTCTAGCTTCTAAATGACTTCTGCACCCTGAATTTTGCAGATTTGTGCGGTTTGTTAGCACACCAGCAGTGCTTGAGAGGTTTGTCAGTCTCGAAAAGGAGATTTTGCAGATCGAGGTGTCAATTCAAGCTAACGAGTTGTCAAACGCTAGTGTGCCTGGGCAAGTGGAGCAAGGTGTGTAGGACTTAATCTATTGTTGCCCAAGTTTCCATTTATTGTGAAATTGCTTTTTTGTTCATTGTAGATCAGTGCAATTATCATTTATTCTCATTTCAAATTAACTTTGTTCAATCAGGTAGTGAGGATGGTAATATAAGGAAGTCATCTGATTCCTCTAAGGTATATCATTTATCCCCATCATTTGTAGTGGTGATTTTTTCTCACAATTTCCATGTCATTTTGAATTCATCTTTGGTTTTTGCTCACAGCTGAAAGGTGAACTTGAAAGACACAATGATACTGAACAAGAAGAGAACTCGAAGTAATTCATCTTAACTTTTAAACTGTGTTACTTGGTAAATAAATTGCTCTATATTCAGTCTGTTGAGTATCATTATTATTGATTAGTTAGTTGTTTGAATGAAAAGGATTCAACTTCAACGTCTGTTGGGAACTCGGAAAGCCTTGCTCCGGAAAGAGCAAGCAATGGCTTATGCCCGTGGGCTTGTTGCTGGATTCGAAGTTGACAGCATAGATGATCTCATTTCTTTTGCTGATACATATGGAGCTTCACGATTAAGGTAAGAATTGCTCCAAATTATGGCTATCAATGCCAGCAAATGTGAGATCAAAAGGATGAAAAATAATCAAATAAAAAAACAATTAAATGAATGACTCAATGTTATCTGAATTGGAATTGTTTTAAATCATTTCTAGTCTTTATATTAGTATATTGTCATAATGATTTTCTTTTTCTCGTGATTTCTTATATCAGATTTAAAGCTTTTGGTACACTTTAGTATATTTGGCATATTATTCATTTTTCATGTTTTTCCTGTATAGGTAAGAAATGACTTTTTTTCCTCTCTGATTGAATTTGGACAACAGTATTTATTTATGTCCAAAGAAAAAGGTTATGAAGTTATTAGCATTTGAAATTTAAGTGTACTTTTTCCTCAGTTTTGATCAATTGTTTTCTTGCACTTGGACTGCCTCTCCGCCCTGATGCTGAGATACTGTGTGGCTCTGTCTTCTATTTTCTGAAATGCCTAAGCGGTTGGATACCGAGCACTGAAAGCATGCTGTATAGACAACAAGTTGTTTCTTAATTTGTGAAGATGGTTGGTTTTATTCTGCTTGCCAGTCTCTCTGATGAAAGATGGGTTACATTCTTAGCTAGCTCAATAGGTTGTCAATATTGCATTCTCTATTTAGTTTTGACTTGTCATCTGCAATGGTTAGAAGTCAATTACCTATACAATGGAAGGTGATTAAGACCTTCTTTAATAGCTCTATGGCTTTTGCATGGGTTATTTTGTCTCCATTTTCCTCCTCATTACATTTTAAATGATGAAAATTCTGAAGTTCTTTTTTATGTTGACCCTGAATGAGTCTTAAAATCACTTGTTAATTATTATAGGGAAGCATGCATAAATTTCAAGGAATTATGCAAGAAAAAACATGGCGATGGTCTTTGGATGGAGGAACTAGCAGCAATGGAGGCATGCTCCCCATCAGAACTGTCATTATTGGGGACATCTGGCATTGTACTTGCGAATGAAACCATCACCCCAAATCAGAGTGTTCTCTTAAATTTTACATCTAATGGTAATCCCAGGCCAAATGAATCTTTGGATATGTCAAAATCTGATTCAACTGCGAGTCGTGCAAGTTCAGATGGCAAAAAAGGTATTAGTGAAATTTTCATTTCTTTCTTCTTTGCTGAACTGTTGCATGCGCTAGAAGTCTAGAACATCTGACTGTAAAGTCTGTGGCTCATCAAAGGCTTCATTACAGAGAACTTCTAGTCATTTAAGGAGATCATTTACATTATTCATGCATTAAGTGAAATTAGATGTCTCCTTGTTGGTTTATAATATTTCCTTCTTGTTATCATTAAATGTTCTATTACCCTCAACGCTGCTCTTGTTTTCTACTTAGCTGCACTTGTTTGTACAAATGCTAAGGTTTGTCTTCCCTTTTGATATGCGCCTCCTTGTTGCTGCTCCTCATTTTATCTTACTCAAATTTTCAATGGCTTTGTAAAAGCCCCTGTGGTCTGTAGTCCCCATGAATAAAGCAGCAAAACATTGATCGCAAACAGGGCTGCTTTTATAATTGTGAAAATAACTATGGTTTCTTAGAATCATGATTTCTATTCTCGTGATGGCATGTATACCAGCTTGTATTTCGAGCAGTTACATTAATAGATATGTGCAATAAACAATTGGCTATTCTCTGATGTTAAAAACTTAATGTGCAGATGATAACTTGCCTGCGAAAGTTCAAGTTCCAATAACATGGCCAAACCAGTTACCACAGTATATGTATGGTTTTCAGGGCCCTATTCAACAACTGCCTCCTTATCAAGGGTACCCTTTTCCTCCGATGCACCCTCACTATGCAGGGAATATGCAATGGCAAGGTGATTATCATAGGAATCATAAGTCATCTTCCCGAAAGAAAGAAAATTTTCTTAACAGAAAAGGTTCTGAACATTCAGAAGAAGATGGACAAACTGAATCCAGTGACTCAGACTTTGGGAGTGACTCAGATTCAATCATACAGCAGGAGAAGAATTCTTCAACTGAGCATTCATACAGGAAAAAGCATAGGACGAAGTCCTCCAGAACAGTTGTCATTCGAAATATTAATTACATTACTCCTAAGAGGAGAAATGGAGAAAAAAGTGGAGGGTCTGGTGAATCTTCTTCAGATGAGAATGAGTTCATCGATCAAGATTCCTTCAAAAAGGTAGATGATGCAGTTGGATTATTGAAGAAATCTCGAAAGTCGAACTCAAGTAATAAAAAAAATAGAGATGCTAACAAAAACCTCCATGTTGCAAATGGATCAAATGATGCTAGTGACCAGGATTTTGACAATAACTCAGTTGCAGATGTGTCTAAGAGAGGAAAGGGAAATGAAAACTGGGATGCATTCCAAAATCTTCTCATGAGAGATGAGGATGCAACGGTTAATGGTGTAGAAAGGATGCACTCAATGGATGTTCGGGATGAAGAGTTAATTGTCAGAAGCTCTGAAGGTGGAATTTCTTCTGCAACCAGCTCTGCTGTGGATCCAGAATCTGAAAAAGTTCCCAAGCAAAGGATAATTGCAGCTGACTCCTTTGTTGTAAATGAGAGGGAAGGAGGAAGTGAACATAGAGCTAAGCTGGAAGGTTTTGAAAATGAAGAGAACTTCCGCTCTGTCTTGAAAAGAGGGGATTGTACAGATGCAGATTTGTTGTTTTCACAGGCACCAAAAGAATCTAGTTGTCATTTTGATGATATTGTATCTGCTGCTGATTCATCTATAATTAAGACAGCAAAGGCAGAAGATTGGTTTGTAGCCAATCACTCTGGGAAACCAGAAAACCAGCAATCAACCAGAGAGCATGCAATCTTTGATGGAGATATGTCAGTAGGGGATCACTTCCAGATTGAGAAACACAGGAAAGACGTACTTATTGATGATTCCTTCATGGTACAGTCTCAACCAGCAACTGATGATTTATACGATTCCCAATGGAGAACAGACATAAGCATGGTTGCAGGCCTAACTTCAGCTGCTAACCCTGGAAATGTTGCTGCAAATGTCTCACAAGATAAGCATGAAGTATGTGAACCTGATGACTTGTGTATGGTGCTTGAAAGAGAATCTAAATTTGAATCTGTGAATAATTCATGGAATGTGGATCATGGAGTCGACGTGACACTTGAGGAAGCTAATAGGAGGTTCTCAGATGCTGAAGATAAGAGGCTTTCTTCAAATTCTGAGGCCTCTGTTGTTAAGAATAATGAAGTTGATGGAGCAAAATATCCAGGAACAGACGCAAAGTCTAAAGTTACTCGTGGATTAATTGGGAAGACCAAACCTGAGCTAATTTCAAAGAGCAGGAAACCATTTGTGAGTAGGCCGGCAGTTCAGAAGAGCACGTTGGAGAAGGTAGTGATGCGCATTTGGTTGCTTAATGTGAATAGCTATTTTATTACCTTTCAACATTTTGTATTCCTTTTGTAACTTTTCAAAACATGCTTGTGAGCAGGAAGAAGAGATTCGGAAGAAGATGGAAGAATTGGCAATTCAACGGCAGAAAAGAATTGCTGAGAGAACTGCAGCTAGTGGTTTGGCTCCAGTAGTATGCAAGAAAGTACCATTACAAAGTAAAACAACGAAAGGAAGCATTACTGCTGACAAGAATAGAACTCGTTCTGCAGCTCAAGAGACAAACAAGATTGTTTCTTCTAGAATTGGAGCATCTTAAGGAAAAGCTCAAACGTGAATGGTACTTAATTGCATGTTCTTCAACGTTAGATCACAGCTGATCCAACTGCTGGAGCTGATATCAGCTTGTTATTACCAATTCCTTTAAGATTTCTACTACTTCTTGTGTAGTTTGCTCCCACTTAATGTATAGTTTTTGTTTTAGTTATATATTTTTTCTCTTCCGTTGTTTTCTACAGGCGGCATAATCTGATTAGAGACTTGATTGAAGTCTAAAGGTGTCATTATTTGTATTTTAGGGAAATAAATAATCTGCCAAGAGTTGTAATTTTTATTTTCTGGAATTCTAATTCTTTGAACCCTGTAAAACTTAAAGATTCCTACATATATTTTGTGGCAGTGAATGATTGTTTACATGGATTATGGCAGCATATATCTTAAAGGAGCCATTACTTGTTTGTTAATGCTTCTTTATATCTTTCACCATGTGATTAACACTTTTTGCTGTTCTTATTTCCAAAGAATAGTTGAAATATTACTAAAAATTAAGCTTTAATATTTTGCTGAATCTGTCAAATGTACTCTTTAGAAAGTAGACCAAATTTAATTATATATGCTACGTTATTATTAACATGTACTGCATATACAGACTTGAACAAAATTTTATATTTTAAATTCAATTAATTGTCAGCATTTTTCTGAAATCATGGTCTTTGATAGATGTTTTGCAGCTACCATTCAATAAAAAGACCTTAGTTTATATACATGCATTTGGAATTCAACTAATAGAAGGTGGACCAATTCTGCATAATTATCACAAGCATTTTTTTTTTCTTTTGCAGTGTTAAGCAATCAAATGGTGGAATAAAAAACTGCAGTTTTTGAAAAAGTTGAAGGATCTAAAATCCTTGCAATCATTTCCCTGGTTTTGGTTTTATCAGATTGTTTGGACAGTGAGAAAATAGAGAGTAAAGACAAAAAAAAAGATAAATTTAGTTAATGTTTCTATTAATTTGACTTATTAATACAAGCCTATCAGATTTTGATAGTGGTCTTTGACCATTCTACAATTTTGTAGGGAATTCCCCAAGAAAAAAATTCTGCAGAGTCAGCAGGTGAGGTGTCATTTTCTTTAATTATATAAATAATACTTCTTAGTTGTGCAAACGCCTACCTATTATAACACGGTTTGGTTGGTTGGAAATGGATAAATTAATTGTAGACAAATTTAGAAGAAACAAAAATGTAGTTGCAAATCCCATTGTGGAAACTGTAAAGTTGAAATTAGTTATATCGATAAATAATGGATACAAAACAGCCAACTCATAAACTGTTGTATAATTATCTGTCGAAAATCCAACCTAACATCAAATCCTTTTATCCATGGCAAGATTAGTTAGCGGTTAAAACAAACTCAAAATTTCTGACACTCGACTAAAAATGAACCCAACTGCCAACAAGACAGCAACTCATGAAGCTGTAAATTGTCCTTAAAATACTCGAACTTCAGTTTCTCAACTCGGCTTTTCATTTTCTGGAGAAATTTCAGATAATTTTTTTTAGAGGGAATCTCTTTGGCCCATTAGGAAATTTTACAAGCTAATTGCGCTGCACGTCGGTGAAACTAATTTCGCATTTGAAACTTTTGAACTTCGTTTTAGTTTATTGCTCAATAAGAGTTGAATTATTCATTGTATTTTAGTCATTCATTGACCACAAAAAGCAAAATAGAAGAAAGAAATTATATACATATACATATATATACATCATCAACATCAAGATATAAGACTTAGCATTGCAGATAAGCTATGGCAGCAGCAAGAGTCTGCGGTTTCTCGCCGTCGAACACGTTGTTGGGTCATAGGAAAAATGAGGTATAATTCTGTCATAGTTTTTCATTGTGTTCCAGGATTAATAAAGGTTTCCTGACGTTTAGTTGTTTTTATAATTCTGATAACAGAATTATAGATGAAGGATAAATGGTTTATCAATTTGGCATTGATGAGCAATGTTGATATTGACAGGGAAATAAGCAACTGCTGGACCCTTTTAAAGGCTCTTCCCTATTCATGAATGAGAAGGAAGTTAAAGGCTTGAGAATGAACAAGTCATTCGGAAATTCGGACGAAATTTTGATGGTAAAGCTGAAGAAGAAAATCATGACATTCAGTGACATCATTGACCTACCTCCTCCTGATCGTTCAAATTCAATAGGACAGGTATTATTTTCTGTCCGTACTTACCCTCTCAAAAGTTTGTACATCAAAAGTATCATAAATCCTGAAATTTTTCTCACTTGCAGCTGGTGATGAGGACAATTAAAGATCTCCAAAATCTGTATCCTGAAATCGTTCCGAGGATTCAGTTATCAGAAATGAAAGAAACATCTATAGATCAAGTTCTGGATCACTTTTCAAAGACTTTGAAATCCGTAGAAAGTTCGTGGACGATGCATAACGAATCCATGGACATATTTGAATTGGATATGCACGGAGATATGGAGAACAGCAACACAGAGCACCGTGGTAATATATGAAGTTGCAATATTTAGATAGCAATTACCCTTTTGAGATTCTTAATTGAATTTGCTAAAAACTTTATATTTTTGTTTCAGTTGAAAGTGTAATGGCAACACTAGATTCCTTGATTAGGATAGCCAGAGAGAAGTTTGATATGATGGATGAAGACGAGGAGAAGAAAGATTCAAGTCCACGAGGTAGTCAATCGGCGAAAATCCTGGAGAGTTGTTCAGACTACGACGGCAGCTCTCTTTGTGGCTCACCAGCCACGCCGACCTCGGTGCTTCCGGAAATGAGAAAGGCTGGAGAGTTTCGAAGTAATACATCTTATACCTCACTTCTTTTCTTGTCTCTAAGAGTTCAAGCAGTGGGGAAATTAAACCCCATTGATGTCAAGCGCCTGTCTTTCCATATGCCTCCTCATGCCGGAGTTCAAGTTTCAAGGACTTCCACTCAAAACAACATTATTGCTGATGAAGTTATGGAAGATGCACAAGTGAATAAAGCACCAGCTGCTATTATTGAAGACACACAAGAACATTACACTGAAACTGAAAAGCCAAAGGATTTGGTGACAGCTCCTGTAGCCATAGCAAGGGAACCTTCATCACAGCCAAATTTGTCTCCAAATGTAGCACTAGTACCATCAACTCCTACACCACCTCCATCACCTGATTTCCGGCCAAACTTAACACTTACACCGCCACTGCCGCCACCACCACCACCCATGTGGAAGTCAAATCTCACAGCAGCACAATCAATGCCGCCGCCACCACCGCCTCCCCCTGCAAAGTTAGGAGCTGTATCAGCAGCACCTCCACCACCTCCACCACCACCTGGAAGGTCAGGAGCAGTATTAGAAGCACTATTAGCAATGCCGCGGCCGCCACCGATGCCAGTTGTAAATGGAGCTGCTGCACCTCCACCTCCTCCAGTTGGTGTAGTGCGATCCTTGCGACCCAAGAAATCAACTAAATTGAAGAGATCAAGCCAAATGGGGAGTTTGTATCGGCTTCTAAAAGGGAAGGTAGAAGGGAATGATTTAAGTAAATCAACAGGTGGAAGAAGGGGCGTTGGTGGATCTGGAGCTGGAGCTGGTGGAAAAGGAATGGCTGATGCACTAGCAGAGATGACAAAGAGGTATAAATATATGCTAAATTAATCCATCTTTGAGTTATTTATATTTCAAGGACATGAATTAAATTTATGTTATTTTATGCATCTCTCAGATCGGCTTACTTCCAAAAAATTGAAGAAGATGTTCAAAAGTATGCAAAACCAATTACAGAGTTGAAATCTTCAATTAGTATTTTCCAGACGAAGGACATGGCCGAGCTGCTTAAGTTCCAGAAACAAGTAGAATCACTACTTGAGAATTTGACTGATGAATCTCAGGTTTAATTTCAGCGTTGTTCATTCTATGGCTTACCATGATGATGAACTGCGAATAATTAATGGTTTGATATGCAGGTGCTAGCGCGATTCGAAGGCTTCCCTTTAAAGAAGTTGGAAACATTGAGGACAGCCACAGCATTATACTCAAAGTTAGAAGCAAGGGTTACTGAATTACAAGATTGGAAGATTGTGGCTCCCTTGAAGCAACTGCTGGACAAGGCTGAACGTTACTTTAACAAGGTAATTAGTCTTCTGAGTTCAGCCATAAATTAAACTTTCCTTCACTAAATACTATCCCTTTATATTCCCATAACTAACAAAAAAACAATAACTAGCAGATCAAAGGAGAAATCGAAGCATTGGAGAGAACAAAGGATGAGGAAATCAAGAAATTTCGGACTCATAATATCCATGTCGACTTCAGCATCCTCATCAAAATCAAAGAACTAATGGTGGATGTTTCCTCCAGCTGCATGGAGCTTGCACTACAGGTAAAAAAACAAATATATATGCATACATGTTTCCGTTGTTGAAATTTCATAAAGGTGACTTACATTTCAAGGGGACAATTTTGTTTTGAACTTGATTCAGGAAAGTAGAGAAGCAAAAGCAGAAGCAGCAAATGGAAACAAATGTGAAGGAAAAGCACAGGAATGTGTTAAAATGCTATGGAGAGCATTTCAGTTTGCCTTTCGGGTTTATAATTTTGCCGGAGGACAAGACGATCGAGCTGACAATCTCACCCGAGAACTGGCTCATGCAATTGAGACAATTCCTAGCCAGAATTGATATCAAGCTCGATCTCCATCTTCCTAATAAAATAACCATAGTGATTATGTTAGTCGTGTGTAATACAAAGTGTGTGTGATGTTTAATTAATTATAAAGAGAGAAGTTGATGGCGGCATTGAAGCATAATCAAGTTTTGAGAGGCCTTGTTATGCTACTTTTGTTTAAGTAGAGAAATTTATGGTAGGATTTTAGAACTACTTCTTCCTTAAAGGGTTTGGATAATTGGTTGTGCTACTGGGGAACCTTATTGAGAGAGCAAACTGCAAGCTTCATTGACCTATATATATGTATCATCTGTTGATGCTCCATGCTTCGTTATTGAATTTTTTAAATTATTTTTATTTTGGTGTAACAATGTTGATTATATACAGTAGAATCTCTCTATAGTCATAATCATAATAGTAGAACCAAACTAATTTTATTATTATAAAGAGATTATACCCTAATAGAGGTGTAATTACGAAAAATATTGTTTTGACTTAGTTATCATTAATGCAACTAGCATAATGGTAAAATATGCAGCACATTAATAATTAATTAATGAAGCATGTTAAATCTAATATATAGACTTTGATAAAAGAGATAAACATTGTTTCGTGCTAAGAAGCTCTAAACATACTTGAAAACCCAGAAATATTTTGGTTTCAAGAAGATGTCAACGCCGGGGAGTTATTACGTACCCGCAAGTTCAAAGATGTGGTAATAACTCTAAAGTATAAATTATTGTCCTAAACAACTTTAAATAAACATTTTATTTCATCTTAAATCTTTAATAAAATATGTTGGGATTCATGCATTTTGGACACGGAAATGGTGTAAAAATGATGAACAAGATGATGGATGCAAGGTAGAATACAAACATTACACATAAGCCCAAAATATTTCAAGGTAAGGATGAAATATTACCTACTCCTTTGCTATTCAACAATTTAATATTCTTTCTTAGAGTCTTAGTTCTTTAAGTGAACTTGAAGAACCTCAAAATGTGATCCACACAAGCCAAGGAAGATAGAGCCGAGAGAGTGATTTTGTTTCAATTATTTTCAAAAAAAATGAAAATGGTATAGCACTTGGTTTATATACCATGGGCGCAAAGTGTAATTTTAAATTGTCTTGGGAAGTCATCAAACAATTTAAAATTAATATTGGAAAAGAGCATTTATGTCAAGTCCTTGGTTTTATTGTTTATTGTTAATTGGCCCAAATTTTAATCCCATTAAATATTCTAACTCTTTAGAATAAAACTGATACGTTTACAAGTCCTAAAACACTTGTAAACATGAGTGGACAAGGAATTGCAAGTCCTCACGCACTTGCTAATTCGGTTGAATTGAAGAAGTTCATTCCAAGTCCTAAAACACTTGGTTTGTGGAATGTGGGGAGTTATGAAGACCAATCAGCCCAAGCAAGTTCAAAGAAAGAGAAGAGTCCAAATATTTCGAGCCAAGTCACTCCACGTCCAAGCATAACAAGAGAAGTTTAAATCCACCAAGAAAGAAACCCAAATGTTCAAAGTGTCAAATTCGGCCCAATTTGCATTACAAAGGGGACAATCCACATGACCTTTTATTGGATCCATTTGCATGATTCTAAAGGCCCAAATTTTACACCCTTATTAGTAGACTTAATTAGGACCATTGATTAGCTTTTGATTTAATGGGAGCAAGCTTAGACAACTAATGAGTTGGTTAAAGACATAGATCCTAGAATTAGGGAATTATGTCTCTTTTGCATTAAATAGGCATGACCTTATTTTTTTAATGAATGGCTTGTAATATTAGCTAATTTTATTTCATTTTCTTGTATTTGTAATTTACTTGTTTATCCTTGTATTTGCCTCTATAAGGGTAACTGTTCCATTGTATCACTTGGTCTTAAAATATATGAAAATTGGTTTATCCATTTGAGAGAACTTTTGTGTTCTTTGATTATGCATTCTTTATCCAAGTTTTGGCAAGGGGATTTGGTGGTGAATCAATTCAAGTTGGTGGAGCAATCCTTTATGCTTGAAGTGTTTCCACTGCATGTCTTGGTCCGAAATTGCAAGTAAGTGTGAGATTGTTCTTGGTTTGTGTTTGGTCAAATTTAAACTTGGATTTATGGCATGTTGTGTTGTTGAATTGGTTGGATTTGGATCATTTGGTACCAGAGCATAGGCTGTGAAGTGGAGTAGAATTGTTTTAGGGTTGAATTTGTGTAGTTTGGTCGGAATTTAAGTTGGAGTTGTTAGATTTTGGAAGCGTTTTGGCTTGAAATTGTCTTCTCCAATTGTCATTTCATTGAACCCACATTCTCTTTCCTCAAACACTATTACCATTAACCAACTCCCTTACATCTTATCCCCTACTAACCAACTCCATTGCCACCTCACCCAATCCTAACCAATTCCTTCCAAATTCAACTAAACCCATTTCTTTCCAACCAAATCAACTCTAAACCTTAACCAAACCCTAAACACACTTAACTAGACTAATTCCCATTAATTAGTCTAATCCTTACTATTCATAGATTACTATTCACTTCAACCAAAATCACCAAAACTTATACACTTTACCTTTCCCTCCCAAATTTCACTATTCCCATATTAAAAAAAAAGTTACTATTCATCCGAGGTTACTGTTCACAAAACGAAATTCACCCAAATTTCATGGCAAATAAAACCCCAACCTCCTCACCTTCACCTCCACCCCCATGGGAGTTTGCTAACCTAAAGTTACAAGGGGAAATTAATGAGGTTAAGCAACAAATGAGTACCATGATGGCCATGATGGTTAACATGTCTAAGGACATAGCCAATTTATCCCAACCCAAACCTATCCATGTAGAAACCCCACACCAACCCCATCGAGAAGGACGAACACACTACCACTATGGGAACACCACCACGAGTGGAAGAGATAAAAGATAGTAGTGCTTCATCTAGTGAAATCGAAGCACCTAGGAGGAGAAGAAGACATTTTGAAGATGATAGAGGTATCAAGATAAACTTACCTGAATTCAATGGGAGTCTTGACCCAAATGACTTCATTGATTGGTTGCATGAGATTGAACGAGTATTTGAATTTAAAAACTACAATGATGAGAAGAGATGTAGGCCATATTGAAGTTCAAGGAGTATGCCTCATTGTGGTAGGAAAATACAAAGAAGAAGAGAGAAAGGGAAGGGAAAACTAGGATTAGGTCATGGGAGAAGTTGAAGAGAATGTTGAAGAAAAGGTTCTTGCCCAACAGTAACAAGTAAGACCTTTATCTTAAACTCCATAATTTGAAGCAAGGAGATAGGAAGGTTGAAGAGTATATTCAGAGTTTGAAGGGTTGATGTTGAGAAGTGATATTCCCGAAGAGAATGAGCATACAATTGCAAGGTTCATTGGAGGTTTGAGTAAGGACATTGCATAGAAGATTGAGTTGCAAACTTACCATTCTTTTGAGCATGTTTGCAAGCTTTCCACCAAGATTGAGAAGCAATTGAAGAGTATGAAGTCCTTGGCCCCTAGGAAGCTTTTTAAGGAGAATAACTACCAAAAGGGTTCACCTTCCTACACCAAACCTTATGTGACACCTACGGCCTATGACAAAAACAAGGCCAATGAAGCACCAAAGGAGAAAACAAGCTTTGTGAAGAATGATGATCCACGGCCAGATTTGAAACACAAGAAGTGTTTCAAGTGTCAAGGTTATGGACACTTCCAAGAAAACTGCCTAAACTAAAGGGTTATGACCCTTAGAGAGATTAATGAGATTGATGATGCATGTCAAAGGGATTCTAGTGAAGAAGAGGAAGTACATGAAAGTGAGATTGAGGTTATAGAAGCCGATAATGGAAAGATGCTTATGCTTAAAAGATTGTTGCATACTCAATTGAACCCTCAAGAAAACCAAAGGGAGAATTTGTTTCACACAAGATGCACCATAAAAGGGAAGGTTTGTTCAATGATCATTTATAGTGGAAGTTGTACCAATATTGCTTCCACCACACTTGTGGAGAAATTAGGGTTGCCGAGTGTAAATCATTTTCATCCATACAAGCTACAATGGTTGAGCAATGGAGACACCATCCGAGTAGTCAATGTTAGAGTAGGTGCCCTAGAGTCATTCAATTATTGTAAATTTGACTCTTTGTAATAATGTTCATTAATCAATAAAAGACATTTTTATTCTATATCATGTAAATCATATCTGTATGTTTTGATATATGTCCTTAGGATGGTAGAACCATGATGAGGGTATCAAGTGTTTCAAATCTTGATAGTGAGAACCCTATGATCACATATGATGGCCATTCTAGAAATATCCGTAGCCCTAGTATTATTCTGACCAAGGACACAGATAATACAGTAAGACCATCATAGTGTTGAATGACCCTGTTGAAAGGCAGTGACTTATCTCACTTGTCAAGGTTGTTTACCGACAACCTGGTGCAACACATGGGTGCTTGTTGTAGGCAAGTTCATTAGACTGACCTATCAAAGGATTCCATATAGATGGTAACCCTAATGTTTATGGAATAAATCCTCTAACGAATGGCGGTGCATGTGATCCTTAGACTTAGATCACCGGAGTGCCTTGTGCACCAATTGGTATTGTTTGACACTAGCCCAATGCAGTTCTATTTAGAGCTATCAATACGGTAGTGATTGGCTACATCGAGGAGTGTATCAAGACTATTGTTGATCGACAAAGGATTCATCAATCCCGGGTATAGGAGAAGTTATCTCACTGCACATTTCAGTAAATGGCAATGACACTAAATTTGTGGTCACAGTGGGATTGAGTTGTTGCGCTCAATCCAATTTAGTATTCTAGTCATTGGTCCAATAACTGAATACAAAAGTATCGAGGATAATTGAGGTTGACACTATTTCTGTACCTCAGTCTCGATGAGATAACAAATGATGAATGGATTTGATTGCACAGTAACCATATCATTAATAGGTAGCTATTTGCTGAATCCGAATCTATTGGGTGGCCATGATGCCTTTCTAGGAGCCAATCTTGGTCTGTGTGTAGTGAGACGATTAGTTGGTGTTAATCGTGATACTACTCACTGCTAGTATGATGGGGAGCCTCGGGTCACACACTTAGAAGATAATTTAAGAATCGTTTTGTCCAAGGGGTATTTTCATCTTTTAGGATGAAAGAGTATTTTGGTAATCTTACAATGCAATTAAATTTGCTGAGTTTGTTGCCTGTATTCAATTTAATGTTGAAATTAAATTAGTGAAATTATATTTAAATATATGTACGTATATATTTAAATGAATTATTATTAT